GGTAAAGAACAGCTGCCTCATACTAGCTCAGTGTTTCTCAACCTTGACAATTTTAAGGCATGTGGACTTCAACTCCCAGAATTCCACAGCCAGCATTGCTGGCTGTGGAATTCTGGGAGTTGAAGTCCACATGCCTTAAAATTGTCAAGGTTGAGAAACACTGTACTAGCCCCTACTAAATTCCTTTAGAAGGATTGGTTGGTTAAAAACAGCAACAGTCCCCACAAGCATGCAGGAAAATTATGGAATAAAATCCTTTTGCAGAGGTAGCCCAGGAAGGTCATTCGGGCCATTGATCCACATGGATAATTTTATATGTTCATTTTAATTGAGTGATGAAAGCAAGTTATTTATGAGACAGCTTCTTTGTAGAACAAATTATTTTTTAAATTCTATGTATTTTATTTTGAATTTCTTAACTTCTGAAGCCGCCCTGCCTATAAGTATATGGTTGGTATTGTTCAGCTAAAGTTTTTGCAGGTATGGACAGCAAAATCCCTACACTTGATGATCCAATAATTGGATAATTGGAATGTTCTTAGGAAACATTTACACAGTTCAAGCACAGCAAATTATCTTCAGTCTAGATCGTTACTGCAAAATCAGTAGGAAGTGCCAGATTCAAATTATACAAAGTAATTTGTTTTCCACTTGTGCATAACATTTTGTTTCAGTGATGAGTTTCCTGTCTTTTTCTTTAAGGGTTTGCCTGTCGCCTTAGATAAACATATTCTTGGCTTTGACACTGGAGGTAAGTGATTCTCCACTTGCACTCTCTAAGTCTCTTCCTTTGGCCTTCCAGCCTGATGCCATTTACCATTTATTCAGGACAATCCCTTTTCTTCAAGATTGTGCTACTTTAGCAGAATGAGTTTCCCTTATATGCAGAGATTTATTTTTAGAAAAATGTGCTCATTTGCCAGCAAAATTAAATAATATTATGTCAGAAACTGTACCACATTTGCATTCCAATTTACTGTGAACAATGTTATAATGGCTAATATGCCATAATTTAGTCTGCATTTCCCCATGAAGTTTCATAGTAGTTATACTTTACTTTACTGGTGGGGGGGGGGGGGCAATGGCTCAGTGGTTAAAGACACTGAACTTGCCAGCTGGCAGCCCAGCTTCAAAACCTGAGTGCTACGTGAGGGTGAGCTCCCGTCCTCGCTCCATCTCCTGCCCACCTAGCAGTTTGAAAGCATGTAAATACAAGTAGATAAATAGGTACCACTTCAGAGGGAAGGCGTTCCATGCATCTCAGCATATAATCATGATGGCCACATGACTATGGAAGCATCTTCGGACAATGTTGGCTCCCTCGGCTAAGAAACAGTGATCACTCACCCTCTAGAGTCGGACATGACTGGACAGGGGAAACTTTATCTTTATCTTTTACTTTACTGACTACTGACAGTAGAGATAAAATCAAGTAAAAACAAAGAACATTGTTGGTGAGTTAAAATGTTCATCCAAAGAGATTTGTTTTTAAGGCCTTCTTAAAAACAAAGTTAAGCACCTCAACTGATTAAAAGCAGCATTCCAAAGAATTGGGTAACAGTGAAGAAGGCATGTCTTTGGCAACTGTAAGCAAACCACAGGGACATAATTTATTTAAGACATAAATTTGTCTTAAATTTAGAGGCATTTCATATCCCCATGGCAGAGGTGGGAAATCTATGTGTCTTACATAATTTTTGAGTCTTGTTTTTTTGTAGTACCCTATGACCTCACAAGATCACAGCATCAAAATTTAGCTGGAAACTGCTGAACAATAGCAGCAAAATAAATCACATTTCACAGGGTAGGAAATTAAATTGGTAAACTGAGTCGCAATAGGTTTTATTTATTTATTTATATGGCTGTATATATATATTATATATTACTGCATATATATATATCAATAGGCTGCTTTTTCTTGGTAAAATCCAACCACATCTTTTATGCTCATCCTTCCTTTGTTGTAGAGATGTTTGAAAATTAATCGGGGAACAGTTTTCGGTTCAAAAGATTTACTTCCCCAAAATGCCAAACCGTTGCTGAGAAAATCAAGGTTTGGAAGGAAATGGAACATGCTCAAATTCTCCAGAACAACAGAATTTTTGCAGATTATTCTTAGAATGATACACTAAGAAGACCTCTTGCCCCAGTGCGGCTACAATGGTATTTAAATATCAGGGATGTTCAGTACTTTGAAATCAAAAGCAGAAAAGGTTATGATGGATATTTCTGGATATCCCAGGAAAAGACACAGCTGCTTTAAAAAGTAGCTGATAGCTGCTCGTGTATTCTAAAGCATCTTTTGTGTTTGAATCTAAGGCACCATACAACCCCTGTTAAACATGAAGAATGATAAAATTATAGAGCTGATATTTGGACCACAAAGCTATAAAAAGGTTCATTCCTGAACACGAGACAGATGGCATTTTGTTTTCTGTCACCACAAAACCTTCTGAGGAAGATGATGAAGCCCCATTACTGATGAGTTTCACCCATCTGTTGTTTTTGTTTCCAGCTGTTGACTAGGAAAGCCCAGCATGAGCAAGTGCCTTGTTCCAGTGGATCTGAATATGCTTTTTTCCTCTTCCAAATGACAGCAGCATATTGATATATTAGCCCACAACTCACCAGATGTAGGGTCTTCTATATTACAATGTCAACATGCCTATTTATTCAATGAATGAGTTTGCTTCCAATCTGGGAATAGGGTTTTTGGTGTTTGCTGTTTGTGTTGCGTTTGGACAACAATGAAAGAAAGGCAAAGGAGAACCTCTGTAAGCCATCCTGATGTTTCACCCAACATCCTGACTTCTTTTTCTTTCCTTAATTGCTTATAGTATTCGTGCTTGCTTGGGATGGTTTGCCTGTTGTTTGTTAAGGATGCTTGTTACAAAGGAATTGACTGAGGTCTGTATTTTAGATGCACCACTTAAAGAGTTTTGAACTAAGCTCTGTTTCCCTTTTCTTACCTTCCTCTCCAGATGCTGTCCTCAATGAAGCTGCTCAGATCCTCCGACTATTGCACATAGAAGAGCTCCGTGAGTTGCAGACCAAGATAAATGAAGCCATTGTAGCTGTTCAAGCGATTATTGCTGATCCAAAAACTGATCACAGACTTGGCAAAGTCGGGAGATGAACAAAATAAAAAAAA